GTGTACCTAGCTTTTTTCCAATGCGCCAAACTGTTGTGTGGTCAATTCCCAGTTCTTCAGCTACGTCGTTACTACTGATATGCCGATCATACGCCACTTTTTAAAAAATGCCATCATTTTTATTCTTTATAGGGCTACCAGAGCGACGTGCATCTTTGACCTCAAAATTTCCGGATTGAAAACTTTGATGTCAAAGATTTATACTCACACAGACACTACATTAGGTCCATAAACATCACTCATTTTGTTCGCGGCTTGCGTTGTTTTTTACCTTTTTTATAGAAAAATTTAAAAATGTATCGATTTTTTTATGGCAAGATGAAAATTTTGTTTCTTAGGTTTTCACGCACATCACTCATTAAATAAAACTAGTTTGTCACGGGTTAATGCAAGAAACTTTATTTATTTATTGACGTTTCGCAGCCTTTACAGGCCGCGTCGTCGGGATCAATTTTTTATTATGGATGGAGGATGAAAATGTTTCGAAATTCTTCATTACATTTATCTTGACAGTAAAAAAAAAACAAATGAAAATCACACTTTTTTCTATTTTGAATTTAGAAACTTTTTAATGATACCTAAACCAGCCAGATACAAATAGTACAGCCAAGGAGATTTTATTACAAGTTCATACATACTATAACGCGAAAAGACTTTTGCCCCAAACTATTATAATGTTGAATTGGCATAAATAATTTGTTAATTTATGGTGATTTTTTACTTCATATAATAAAGGTTATTCTATAAAGACAGAAGAGTATACAATAGGCTAGTTTACTCATGACGAATTGTATTAAATAAATGTTTATTTCTTAAAGTGTTTAGGCTAAGGAACCCTAATATATCGATTTCACTTCATAAAAGCAGAAGATTGCTGTAGAAATTTAATTTTAAAAAATATTTTTTAGTCTATATTTTTTAAACACTAAAAACGCTGTTCGCCTCATTCGCCATGATTTTGACGTCTCTTGTGGTAAACAACTAAATGTCATTCGCGTGTTACTATAAGTGGATTCTTTCGTCTCACTAAATTTATCTTAAAACACTTTTAACTTTAGGAAAGAAAAAAACAGTAAACTTAGTTTTTTTTGACTAAACAAATTATGGATGCCGGCTTTGTGAAAGCAGAAAGCACAAATATGCCAAGAATTGACGCATTGATGGTTGGTGAATTTGTTGCACTAAACCCCGATTTCTGCTCTGCGGAGCAGAGAAACGACAAGGCATCTATGTAAGTACAGTGCATTTAGTATTACAATGTAGTAATAAACATAACACTGATACAACATATGAATAAGTGTAATAAAGTTGCGTAGGTTAATTTCTTTCGGCACTTTAATCCACAACTTTCCTGGAGTCTTCAAGGATGTGTTTTTATATTCTCGTACAATACTTTATTTTTCGTGGTATTTATTAGAAATCATGTTTTTTTTTATTATAAACTCAGTTAAAAGTAATTTTCTACGTGTTTACGAGTTTTTGTTTACCACAGTTCACGTCATAGCATAGACAATCTATAGACTAAAATGGCCGATAGCGTTTTTGTATGTCCATGAAAAGTCTATTTTAAAATTAAAGATTTGTAGCTTTCTAGGTTTAAAAAAAATACAATACATTTTTTTTCGGTCTAATAGAACATTTATTAACCATTTAAAACCTTTTTCCAAAAAGGGTCAACTAGCCTATTACGAACGTAGTTTTAAAAGAAAAGAAAAAACATATTTATGAAAAAAAAACAATAGTAGGTCAAAAAACAATTGTACAAAAGATAAACCTAAAAAGTATCTTCGAGATTTGAAACCGAAATCTCTTTCTTACTGCAGTCGATCTGAGAGACCATTAGAAAAATGGAGCTCTCACAAATACTGATTCAATTACGGTTAACACTGGTGTTCTGCCATTCATACCTAGCGTAGTCGATATCAAAGAAAACAAAAACATATAACGTTACATACCTTAATAGAAAAATAGACGTTAAACAACAAAAACAAAATAGGTAGGTATTAGTGTCGAATGAAGATAAAATCTACTACTAGACATTTTTTGCAGCTACATGCTTAATGAGGCTTAATGTCATATTAATAGTCATATTAATTAAGGACAATTCATTAGGTATGTCGAGACTTCAGCACGTATTTAGCGTGTCAAATTAATAATCCCTGGACAAGTTTAAAAACACCATAATAATATTTACGTCTGATCGTCAAGGTCGATTTATAAAAAAACCTAAATTATTTCCTACTTTTGGTTTCATCATTTTTTCAACATTAACTTTTATCTATCTTGTCTAATGATACAATATCAATGGTAAATGTAAGTATGTATGTAAATGTAATTTCAGCGTCTCAAAATGGATGTACGGTTGGGTCCCGGGGTACTAAAAAACTCCTCCTCATTGACATGACCATTTGCCAACATATCCGGCGGAGCAAGGAAGCCCTTTCTGCGGCTTGGGTTGACTATAAAAAGGCCTATGATTCGGTGCCTCACTCATGGCTGAGATGAGTCCTAGAGTTGTATAAAATTGATGCAACTTTAGGATCCTTTTTGGGTACATGTATGTGACAGTGGACCACGGTCCTTCGTCAGCCAGGCAGTAGGGATGGCCCCTCGGATCCGCCGGATGGTATAAGGGATAGAGCGAGGACTCTTTCAGGGTGACAGTCTAAGACCGTCGTGGTTTTGCTTAGCCCTAAATCCTCTTAGCAATTTGCTGAGGGTAACAGCGCTGGGCTGCCGTCTCCGGAGAGGTGGGGAGATCATTTCTAACTCACTTTACATGGATGACCTAAAATTATTTTAACCAAAACAACCAGACTTGATGAAACTACTGAAAATTACAGAAGTTTTCAGTAGTTCTATCAGGATGGACTTTGGCGTCGATAAGTGCGCATGTAAAGCGAGGGAAAGTGGTAAATTCAACAAATTTACAACTTTCTGAGACTCTTAAATCTCTCTCGGAGACGGATACTTATAAGAATCTTGGTATGCCATAGTCTTTGGGTATTATGGATGGGGACGTAAAACAGCAGTGAAGGAGCTTTTCTTTTGGAGACTGACAAAAGTACTGAATAGTCTTTTGTCGGGAGGCAATAAGGTGCGCGCCTTCCTGGAATGCCTATGTGATGCTCTTATTCGCATACTCCTTTGGCATACTGAGATGGACTCACACTGAGTTAGACACTGTATGCTTCATCCGCGCTCATCTGTTATGAAACTGTATATGCCACGTAAGTGTGGAGGTCGTGGCTTTTTAAATGCCAAGAATCTCCACAACCGAGAGGTGTGCCGACTCAGGGATTATTTCCTTAACGGTTATACAGGGTGGGTTGCATCGTGACATTGTAGAAGTTGACAAAACCTAACGCCGCTCCCCATGGCGAAGGAAAACTGGCGCAAGCCGACGGTGTTAAGACCCAGGATCGCAAGGAAGTATGGAAAAGCAAGGAGCTCCATGGGCAGTTCTATCGGGCTCTAATAAGGCCTGATGTAGACCAGCTCACCTCGGTGAACTGGCTACGATTCGGTGACCTCTTTGGGGAAACCGAAGGGTTTGTCTGTGCAATTGCTGACGAAGTCATGATGACGAACAACTATCTGAGATATATCCTGAGGGTTGGAACGGCCGACATTTGTCGAGCATGTCGTCGGCCTGGTGAATCCCTCAAACATATTGCCTCTGGTTGTTCTAATCTGACCAACGGCGAGTATTTGCACAGACATAATCTCGTAGCCAGAATTATTCAGCAGCAACTTGCTATTCAATATGCCTTTGTAGAAACAGAGGTGCCGTACTATAAAGTACATACCGGCGCCAGTTCTCGAAAATGGTCATGCAACACTATTGGGATGGGTCTGTCATTATGGACAGGACTATTGTTGCCAATAGTTTCAAACACCTATCTCACCTATACCGTGTGTGTGACAAGTAGGTCTATTTATCTATAGCAGCCTTTGGGTTCGTCTTCGAACATAGCCCTTCTCTTAACGTTCCACCGACTTCTGTCCCCGGCCACTTGCAGTTAATTCCAGCCTGTCGCTGGATGTCATTAGTCCATTTTTAGGGCGGTCTTACGCGGCAGCGAAGACCTGGGGTTGTCAGATCGAGAAGTCAAAATATACCTATCTTACCTATACCTTGTGTGTGACAAGTAGGTCTATTTATCTATAGCAGCCTTTGGGTTCGTCTTCGAACATAGCCCTTCTCTTAACGTTCCACCGACTTCTGCCCCGGCCACTTGCAGTTAATTCCAGCCTGTCGCTGGATGTCATTAGTCCATTTTTAAGGCGGTCTTACGCGGCAGCGAAGACCAGGTTGCCAGATCGAGAAGTCAAAATATCTGGAAAACATTTTTAAATGTCAGGATTCTGGGATTGTTGTTGAGATACACCCCTCTCCCCCATAGTCGGACGTTATCATAATGATTTACTTTTTAAGGGTATGCACTTATACCCGTTCAAATCGTTCGTTTTTTAGATAAATTGTGTGCGTGAAAACATTCTACATACTAATGCTTTTACCACACCTGTGCGTGCCTGTGCGAGGAAGCTTCTGGTTTTGGTACTAAATGCGCGAAAATTAGCGTTCGAAATAGAATTAGTTCTGTCGTAATGAATAAGCCGGCTGCGTGTAGGCGATAGCTTGTCTGGTGATAATTTGACACGCTAAAAGAGGTTGTAGAAAATGATAATTTTTTATGTGCAGCTGAAGGCGCGGGCTTGATTCAAAGTTTGAACGCTAATTTCAGCGCATTTTAGTAACAAAGCCACTCGAAGCATCGTCATCAAACAGACGTGGTATATGCATAATATTATAAATGTAAAATTATGGGTGTTTGTTAGTCAAAAAACGTTGAATTGGATGCAATTTAGTACACATATTATAGTTTACCGGGACAAATACTCTTTTTAAAGAAGAAAGAGTATTTATCCCGGATTTATTTTTATTTTCTATGGCACAATAAATTACAACGCTGATTTACTATTTTGTTTGTCAACAGATGGTTGGCAACGTGGTAGTGTTCGTGTGCGTGAACTTGGTGGGCGCACTGATGCACTCGCTGATGGAGACCGCCCAGCGACGCGCCTTCCTCGACACGCGCAACTGCATCGCCGCCCGGCTCGACATGGAGGACGAAAACGAGAAGCTGGTCAGTATTGTCTTAGTTATCTTGGAAAGAGATGTTCAAACGTCTAGGGAAGCTTGATAAAACATTCAGCGTAAGCTTTCTTCTAAAAATTCCTCTATTATGAGATTTAGGGCGTTAAGCGGGAACACGGAGCGGACGTCCGCTCCGCGTATTTGTTTCATTTCATTTCATAAAGCAACGCTGCGTAATACGGGTCTTCCGTCACAGCGCTGTTCTTTAAAACGACATGAAGCTGCACGCGGAGCGGACGTCCGATCCGTGCTCCCACTTAATGCAGCGTACGCCCTTGTGAGAGTACAAGCCTGCTAGCGACAGGACTGAATAGTTAAGAAGTCCAAGTCAGAGCTTTGGTGGGTTAATTACATCAGATACGGTCCCACACGTCTTCCACAGCACGAAGGTGTTTGAAATAATGAGAAAGAACTAGGTACTTACTCAAACCAATCGATCTTTCTTGGTCTTTGGTCCGATGGGACCAAGTTTTTACAGGGAATTTTCTGGTCACCTGTCCCATGATCAAAGATATATCGTGTATATATTAAAATTATAGATAAGTTCGCATCTTTTTCTTTTAAATTATATTAATTACAATAGAATATGTAATTAACATAATTTAAAAGAAAAAGATATAACTTCGTACCTTATTTAATTCTCCTAAATAATGAAAGTTTAGGCGAAGATCCGGGTTCTCTAATGTTTATAAAACACTTAACTTTATTGAACTATTAATTTGGTTTCGCAGTACCTTGTAAAGAAAATCAACATCCAATCTGTTCCTACGATTTCAAAGTTCATCCATAATTACGAAATTGTCTCATTCGCACCCCGTAGAAAGATCTTCTACTTATTACTGTAAAAATATCATAGAAATATTTTTAGAATTCAGTCAATTCTAAGAATGTGTGCAGCAAAATGTTAGCCGCATTTTCGTTCCCACTATGTAAAAGGTCCAGGTATCAATTCAAGCAATTTGTGAAAATTACACGTGAAATTATATTTATCGCTTTATAAAGAGCCTTTTATGTTATGTTTTGAAAAAATAAATCGCTTACAAAATAACACTAAATCATATACAAGACATATTTAACCATATGAGAACTGAAGTTTTTAAGATCTAATCCCCGAACTGCTGAAGTGAACAATTGATATATAATTTTACGTAAAAAATATGTTTTCATCGACTTATAAAGCTAGCACAGCGTTGCATTAAATGCCCCTTGCATTTAATGGTAATATGGAACGATTCGACTCATTAAATTAACTCACAGACTTTACTTGTCATACGAGTTTCTCGTTTAAAATTGGTAGCAAATTTAAGGCACATTAAAATTATGCGTAATCTTATGCATACTCTACTTACTTATACATATTTAGCCGCTATAAGCCTGTTAGTTGTATTTATATTTATGTGCATTTCAATTAGTACGCTATGTCTACTAGCATTAAGTGGGATAACGTTATGTAAAAACAAATTGCCTTGCATACACAATACATTCATTAACAAACATTTTCCTTGTCTTTAAATTTTTATAGTAGTTTGAGTAATAGCTACCTATTTGTTATATTTTTTAGAGATTGTAAATATAGCACAGGAAAACTAATGAGAGGTGACTATCAGTTTTATGATCCATATAAACCCGGGATATTAATAATTATAGCGTAGGGGTTTATAATGTATACGACTATGCATCCATAATAGTAGTTACGAATTCTCCGAAACTTCTCATATCTCGTGAAGCTCCTCGATAAACATCAGCCCACGCGTATCAAAGTGTAGCTGTCAAATCATCAGTCATTCTTTTCCCGAATGTTCTCATCCATAAATTCTACTGTTACTCGAACATGGCAGGGTCGTAGTTGGTTATAGGCAAAACATTTACCTATTTAAAGCTTTTACCGGAAATTAGAATTTCGGGGATAGATAGCAGAGCTTCTAATTATTCTATTGCAGCTTACTTCAACCACATTCATGCTTTCTATCAGTATTGAAATATTGAAAGATTAGTCCATTAATCGGGGAAGTCTTATAGGCTATCTAACATCACGCTACGACCAATAGAGCGGAGCATCAATGAAAATGTTACCAGAACGGGAAAAAAATCACAGATCTCTTGCATAGGGCATTAACAATGAATCTACCTGTTATAGATTATACAAAAAAAATCTTAAAAATATTTTTTTTGGTTTTGAAAAACATCATCATAAAGCCCTTTGGATTCCGCGTCTTTTGAGCTCTCATTATGTGAAAAATTGTGAAAGATTGCGCGATTATCGCACCTCGCGCCGCGCGAAACCCTCGGCTAAGGGCACCTCTATAACCTCAACCGCCACCAATATCGACAAAAGTGTAATGACCGCAAACGTTCCTTGGTTCAATACCAAGGTGCTTTTTTTCATATTTTTGAAATTCGGCCCCGTTCTCGAGACATTAAGAACATGTACAAAATAATTTGTACATGTTCTTAAAGCCCTTCAAATTCCGCGTCTTTTGAGCCCTCATACGTCCTCGTGGCCCTAAGGCGTCGTCCTAATTGGCAACGATTGTACGAAGACACGATGCGTTCTTGTCGTGCGATGATATTCAAACATACAGAATTCTTCAAAGGTGTCCTAATACAGCTCGTAAGCCGTCGCACGACCACAGGTACACTATTTTCATCGCACGATGACATCGCTTGGTGCCATCGCACGATCGTTGCCAATTAGGACGACGCCTAAACCTCGGGGTAGCACGGGCGAGTCGCACTTTCAGCGAAAATGGGGGCCTACTGGAGCGAACGAAAATACATTTCCAATGTTAAAAATCCTTTTGGAGAGCTTCTGCACAAAGTATAGATAGAAGCTTCTGGTTTGTTTGCTCCGTAAACTTGTGCCTCTTTGATTGTAAGTTCTAAAAATAGTCCGTGCCAGCATTTATTGTCTATCTTTTATGATTTGCTCACTATAACCTTTTTCATGATAATAAAATTTGATCCTATATAATGCATTATTTGCTTCCATACCTTCGCAAATAATGCATTTTATTTAGGAAAAGAACCGATTCAAATTAACGCGGATAAAACCGCGGGGCACAGCCTGCTTATTTTTACTGTAACTAAGTAGTGATAAGATTTAATTCGTGCAAAGAAACAATATTATAATTTTATACTATTATTATACTAATGCTCAATCAAGAAACGAAAAAATAGGTACGAGATATGCAAGAAAGTGTTTACGGTAATTCATACCTAAAAATAGTTTTACAAAACAATAATTCCATTCACGTGCTATCCGATTGCGTGTCACGTGCTATCGATTTGATACTACTTATCTATATTTCCAATTACAATCAATATTAGAGTAGGCACTCTAAAGTAAACATAGAACTGTAATAATTTATGTTTATTGTTTTTGATGCCATACAAACTCGCCACTTATCGACGATCTAATGTTACATGAATCAACACAACCGTTGGACAGTGGGACGTGGTCGGTGCGAGCTATTGAAAATGAATTAACAAAGGTGTGTGAAATGGTATCACTCGCTATGCAGGCATACAGGTCGAATGTACACAACACCAATGTAATAACGTAGGTAAACAATAAAATCAGGTTACAGGTGGCATTGCTGATTAAAAAAGGTACTTAATTAAATTGATATAATATCTCGTAAAGGTTAGTCATGTTCAATTCACATTAAACAAACTAGAAACAAAATATAACAATTAAAATAAATGTAAATAATAACAGGACTATTATTAATAATGATATCGTTTTATCATTCTCATATAAATAAGATTAGAAATTAGCCAAGTGCGTGTTCGGGTTAGGATACGCGCACAATAAAGCGCACACAAGAGTTCCGTAGCAGCTCATCATAAAGCGCTTATCGAAAACTTATGAGTATTAGTACACCGGTAAACTTCTTAAGCATCAATCATAGACATAAAAGCCCGCACAGTAGCAATTTTAGAGACAAAGACGTCTACTGCGCAAGTTGATTTATCCGTGGTTTTGCTCAAGAAGTTTACTGATTCGCCTTTAACAGTTATTAGGTATGCCTGAATAAGACGTATGCCATGTGTCAAACCAGGCAATAAATCTTCCGTGAGTGAGACAAGTCTAAAAATTATTTTAGAAGTTTCATAAATAAATAATGTAACACATATTATTTCACAGAATTTGGAACTGTTAATACTTTGAGAGGCTTATTTATATTGAAAACTGTTTTAATTTGAAAAGTATGTTATTTATTTTAAACAAGGTTGAGATTTATCTCACCTGGTCTCTAAGATGGATAGTGCTGTACCAACCACTGAATAATTTAAAGTTATTTAGATATGTCTTCTAGAGTGATTCGGAATTCGGCTAAAGTTGAATGAATTTATCGTTAATTTCAAACTTTGTAAACTTTAACATAGTACTTAGTTACAACTTTAACAAACTGGTATAGAAAACTTGTAACATAATCAACAGGTTGTTTTGCTTACAACAATCTTACAAGTTTACTATTAAGGTATTTTGCGATGAATATATCAAACTTGGTAAACACTTGTGATTATAATGATTGAGTGATTCTTAAGCATAAGCAAACATTTGAATTAAAAATACAAAAAGTAGATTTGCCTATAGCCAGGGCTTGAAACCGGTTTCGAAAATACCGGTAAATAAAGGTTAATACATAGTAAAGGTTTCGCTCGGAGCGCATCCGAAATGAAAGCGGTACCTAAGACCCTAATAAACCGGTTTAATCCAGTGCGACACGTGCACGCGTCGGCATCGCTTGAAGTTTGTTTTGTTTGAACTATTCAAGTCACAACTTGTTAATGCTCAGAGATTGATGCATTTATTGACACGTTTGCTAGCGTCTATAGATTATCTATACTATGACGTCAACAAAAGCGTAAACAAACATTCGGAATCACGAAGGAAATAACCTGAATCTAAATTTATATTATAATACCATGATTTCTAATAGATTTCATGATTATACGGAGTTTTGTCGTTTCTGCTTTCACAAA